TATATATATAGACTCATGATGGCAAAATAAGTCAGAATTACAGAAGAGGATTAATTCTCAAAGCACAAAACATTGTCCTCAGTTCTGACTTTTATCTCTGAGTTCTGAGAAAAAAAGTCAGAACTCAGGAAAACACATTGATTTTATTTCCATAATTGAAATCTTGAGATTTGCATAAAAATTTGACTATTAAAAAACCAAATATTGATCCTGGTAACTAAAATAGCATATAGTCTTCCTAATGTAAGAAGCTCATCAGACTGACAGTGACAGTATCTTATACTCAACATAGATAAATGTCACCAAATCGTCACCCCCTGTCTTTTGTTGTAAACAAGGTGAAAACTTTGATGACAGTGAACTTTGGCTAAGGAATCAGCTGTTTTTTCATGAGACTCAAACTGTGATAATCTGAATAATAACATATTTGATATTGTGGAGGAGATAAAGTGATAAAAACAGAAATATTATCTCTTTCTGACCAGTTGAGCTGAGAGCTGAATGCAACAAAGGTTATGTGAAAGTTAAACAGGTAAGAAAACATTTCTACATTAATACACACTAATCTTCTAACATCCTTATCATTATTGTCATTGCTTTGGACACATTCTGTATAATCTGAGATCTGTTTTCACTAATTGTTATCCTGTATTTCTGCTTGTTTTTAAGTGACTTTTAAAAATTCCTCTAACTGTAATTTGTTTCTCATCCTCCTATCTTGTTCTAAAGCTGGGCTTAAACCCCACCTCTGTAGATTCTGTGGTGGTGGGTAAAGGCAAAGAGGTCAAAATAAAGCCTGGACAGCACCTCCATGTTGTCAATCACCTTTACCCATACACCATACAGTTTAAAGAAGACCCCAGAAGAAACCAGGGCGACACCAAAAGACCAAAGGATCCTGCTTTGGGAGATGGAGAAAGCCAGAGAGCTGCTCAGAGTATGAAAGCAGTGAAACCGACAGAAAAGGTGCCTGTGTCGGTCGGTCATGGAGGAGCCACAAAAACAAATGTAAATGGAAAATATAGAAATACACGTATACAATATTGGTTTTATTGTTTGTTTATTTATTTGAATCATCAGTAATTCATATAGAAGAATCGTTTTACCTGGTATTTGTTGTAGGAAAATGTTGGACATTGGAGCCAAGGTCTGAAGGCATCAATGCAAGACCCCAAGTTGCAGGTAAGTGTTCTTCTAAAATTGTTTTACCGCTGCTGTGATGCTCACTCAGAGGTTGAATAATGGACACAAATAGTATTTAAATATTTCAGGTTTACAAAGATGATGACGTTGTTGTGATTAAAGACAAATACCCCAAGGCCCGCTACCACTGGCTGGTCCTCCCATGGCAGTCGATTCCCAGTCTGAAGGCGCTTCGCAAAGAGCACTGCAATCTGCTGAAACACATGCAGCAGGTGGCAGACCGCTTGATCCAGCAGTGCCCAGATTGCGACTCACTAAGCTTTCGAACAGGCTACCACGCCATCCCGAGCATGAGGTAAGCAGAAACTGTTCGAATGTTTCAGTTAAAAGGACACAACTGTAGTCAAATTCAAGTATTAATTTTCTAAAGCCAACATGTTTGACAGTACAAGTGATATTCGTTTAAACTCTCCTCCAGTCACCTTCATCTTCATGTGATCAGCCAGGACTTTGACTCTCCTTGTTTAAAGAACAAGAAACACTGGAACTCCTTTACAACCAACTATTTTATAGAGTCTCATGGTAAGGGCAATTTTCTATTGTTCTTATAATTAAAATGTGTATTTTTTTTATTTTTACTTAGTTACCAGTTTTGAACAATTCAGCAAACCGCAAACTCTGATATTCTTCCCACAGATGTCATTGAGATGCTTGAAAAAACTGGGGAGGTCAGTGTGAAGGAGGGCTCCAGTGAGCTGTTGAAGCTGCCTCTTTCCTGCCATCTGTGTCGCAACGAGTTTCCCACCATGCCTGCCCTGAAGGAGCACCTCAAATATCACTTCAGCAAATAATGTGAACCCTAAACTACGATTCTTAGGGTTTTCAATACCGTATTCAGAGAATGTTAAAAAATATTTTGTTCCTGTTTTGTAAAAATACGTAGTTGCAGTAAGAACTTTAGTTGAGGTTTCGACCTGTCACTTGTTTACATTTTCAAGAAAGGTCATTGTCAGTGTGCAAGCATTCATTTTTGGATACTTTGATCAGATATTAGAACAAGTAATCAATATTTTATTTTATTTTTTGCTTTTATTTTATCACATTTAATTGATAAATGTGTTGCATTAAACGTTTTACAAGAACTGAATACTTTTTCATTGTTCAGAATAAAAGTTTTGTTCTCATTTTTCTTTTTTTTATTTTATTGAATCAAATGTGARGTGTATGCAAACAATGAAATACTGCATTAAAAAAGTGCTACTTTCATATTTATGAGTCTGAATTAAGACATTCACAAGTAGGCTAGTTTTTCAAATCTGTTTATTGCAGTAGTGTTTCAGTGATGCGTWCACGGGCATTGATTTGACCCTTTCAATGTCAGCAAATTTTCAACCTGTCCCTTCAAAATCTGTTAATTTGGACAAAACTTTGTCTCCATCTAGTGGTAATTCTAGGGACAATTTTAAAAAGTTTCTGCCCTCATTTCGGTATAAATCCGAGTGATATCATTCAGGTTAAAAACGAAAGTACAATTCAGTATTGGGTTTTATTGCAGTTCCTAGTAAAAAAATCGAAAGCTATCCCAAAATAAAAATATTTATTGGCCCGTACGGGGATCGAACCCGCGACCTTGGCGTTATTAGCACCACGCTCTAACCAACTGAGCTAACCGGCCATGTTTTAATGTTCAGGGAGCCCAGGAATCGTGCCACACTGTGGTCATCTGTGGTGTGTTGTACATTAGTTATGTATAGGCCTTTGGTTCCCAAAGTTGGGCTTGGGACCCAATTATGGGTCATGAAGCACCTTAGATAATCTCCAGAAATCAATTTAAAGGGTATTAAAATAATTGCTGATGCAATATTTTTCCTATAATTATTGCAAAAACACAAAATAAGTAAAAAAATAAGTATTTATATGTGTGTACAAGCTGTTAGATTGTCAAAAACCTGTGTTTTTAGGGTTATTAACAAAATTCGTGTACTCAGACCAGTATTATTTGGGGTCACAAGTTTTTGCCATGGATATATTGTGGGTCAGAAGATAAAAAGTTTGGGAACCTCTGGGGACCGGGGACAGTTGCAACACTTTTTGCAATTGACTCTGTTACTCAGAGATGGTTTGAATTAGACCAACCAAATTTTAATACAATAAACTTTCATGGGTCTGTTTATAATCAAAACCATTTATGGATGATTAAAGCATGTACATTATTCACAATTTGCATTTGAAAATGAAAAGTCAGATGTTGCAACTGACCCTGGGGCCGGGGACAGTTGCAGCATTGTTTGGGGGTAGGTGCAACATATTATTAATACTATATATTTCACTGTAAATAAAAAGTTTTATTATTTTTATATTTATATTATTTCTAAATTAATAAAAACTGCAAGTTGTGATATTACAGTGTTATTTATTTATTCTTTTTGATCAAATGAATATAGATTTGCCTTGATGAGTAGACCTTATATACAGATGTCAGAGACTCTGATATAAAATACAGTTGACTTTTAGAGACATGGATAACAGAACAATTTGTGAGGCAATTAACTTTTGTTTTGCCTGTTGCCACTGTACGCCTACATTATGCAAAATTTACATTGAAAGAAACTGGGATTTTAAAACCATTGTTGAAAACAACAACTGCAGAAAATACATCTTAAACACTTTTATGTTTTAAACTATAAAGTTGTCATGAATACCCAATACCATTTTAAGTGTAAACTTAATTTTAACATCTTAATATCATCTGTTTGTGTTCTGTTTTTATATGGATTTATCATATGGAGACAACTGCCCCCCCTTCCTGTCAGCTATGATAAAACCTCATGTGTTAGCTAAATAATCTGATCTGGATACATGTTAACTATATTAGTTAAAAGTCAACATATCACTTGTTTAAACCATATATGTTTGAGCTGGATCACAAAACAGTGATAACAGTATAACAAAAATAAAACTAGAAATAGAGCAGTTTTTGAATCTGTTTACTTTTTCTCTGCAARGTGGGTCATCTAACTGAGCATGTACAGTGTGTCATCACTAGCTTGTTTCTGTTTGGAGAAAAATGACGTGTTGCTACTGTCCCCAGTCTCCCCTACGGCATTTCAAAACGGAAAGTGAAAAAAAGTACATCACTTTATACGTCTTTAAAACTTAATGCACGCAATGATAAATATATTTTCTAACAATTTAAAGCTAAAGTAATATAAAAATGTCAGTTTTTTGCACATCAAAACAAAACATGCAGACTATAAACAACAAAGTGACAACTGTGAATAAGTGAGCAGAAAAAATATGTATTTTGAAATTTTATTGGACAGTGCAAAGTTTCAAAAACAGGATTTCATCTGTATTAATATTTCCAGAATGTACAATATAACAACAAGCATGTTTAATTATTTAATAACAGAAAAGCCCTGAATACAATAACTGAACCAGCATTTATAATTTATTTTTATATATTGTTATCAAAGTGGAATTAAAGCTTAGGTTATATCATGACAGTGATTTCCACAAGAGTCGGTCAGCTGCAGGTAGCTAACATTAATGATTAGAAGTGAACATCTTTAAGTCTTCAAGTTGTTCATTAATTAGTGCTCCCTAATGACAGCATGAATTATCTCCTTAGTCTTAACTCCCTGTCATCCTCATCTGGCACTGTCAGATTGTCCACAGAGAAGTGAGCATCATCTCCTATGCTCTGGAAGTTCTCCTCGCTTTCACAGCTCTGTGTGCCGTTCACACATTCTTTGGTTCGGATTTGTTGCAGTTCATTGCTGTCGCTGCCGTTACTGTCCTCTGTGCTCTCGCTGCTGGTCTCGTTGCTCTCGTGGCTTTCGCTGCTTGCGCTCTCGCTGCTGTTGCTGGCGGCGGCTGAAATGTCCGCGCTGTCACTGGTGGTGTCCAGCAGTGCCTGGTTTGTGTGTCCCTGACCTGTCTTGTGGGTCACTGGGTGTTTTTTGTTCGTCTCGTGGCTCTCTGTGCTGGTGTTGTCCTCTGCGCTCAGAGCTTTGGCAACATTAGGGTACACGCTCACCCAACTCTGCTGCAGGGAATAAAAAGTAAGGAGCATAGCGTTACTCAACTGTATCTTCAGCCAAAATATAGTCAAGCACACCAAATCTAAAAATCAAAACCACATTTCTATAGACTTTTTTTTTAAAATGCTGCATTATTTACAAGGAATTGTCTTCTGATGCAGGCCTACTTTAAATCTTTGTTTTACAACTAATATTACTGAGAATAATAGTAATCGCTCAGCTCAAAAACATTTGTCCTCATCTTTTTAAAATTCAAATTCAGACCTCATCATCCTAAAAATTGCACATCTGCACCCTTACATGCCAAAATTTTTAAATAAAGAACTTGTGCAATCTGTTAGCGCTCAAATGATGTTGGAGTGACACTCGGCTACTACCACACCACAGTATCTGCAAAAATGACTGAGTGTTAGTCTTTTTTGTGTTTCCCAAAGTTGATTAGCTGTGGCAGCCCTCTTGAATCAGGACATAAAACATTAATTAGCTGTAGATGAACTTCTAGCTATTGCTTTCTGAGAGGAGTGGGGCATTGAGGGGGCCAACAAATTTAAAGGAGGGCCACTGCCCCCTGGCTTCCCTTTAGGGGCACCCCTGAGCATATGCTTCAAACTGAGTAAAAGTTTAAAGTGTTTCTCCCACCTTTCGAACATTCTCCTGACTGCCCATACTGTCATCCTGGGTTTCAGGCATGGAGTCCATCTGAGTGAAGATGGAGAACAATATGAGTCAAGAATCACAGCAGCAATGATTTGTGCATTTAATTGTTTGAAATAAACTCCTCTTACCCTGTCATCCTCATCTGACTGACTGTCACTCTCCTCAGAAGTCTATTTGTAAAAGAAAAAAGGCAAAAATAAAAAAAAGTATAAGAAAAACACCTTGTTTATACTCATAACTTAAAAAAATGAAAAAAATGTATGCAAACAACAAACCGTGTCTTCTGAAGCAGACTCTACAGACTCAGATTCAGACTCTGAACTCTGTTGGGAAAAAAAATACCTATTTTAGCTCAATGTTAGGTTGTTTCAATCTGTTTGATCTAAATGTTTAAAAACTAAAACAGACTCACATGATTTGAGACGTTCTCCTCAGAGCTCTACAGCACAAAGAGAAAAATTGAAGACATCAAATTATACACACAGGGATGCAAAAAAATTGAGTTCTAAATGTAATAAAATCGAATTGTACCTGAATCTCTGAGGTGTTATTTTCAGCTGATTCAGAAACAGACAAACTTTCTGTCTGGAAAAGAAAAGTAAATAAATAAAGTAAGTGAACATCTGAGCAGATTTCATTACATCATCAGAATCACATAGTAAAAACCCATTCATGTCGGGTTAGGTTCAGGCGAAACTTTAGCTGCATAAATGGGAGCAGAAAAACAATCAGTGTTGCAAACAGTAATCTTTGCAGTGGGAATTGTCTGCAGCTCTCCACCACACCCAGTAAATGATTTTTTTTAATTACTGACACTGACTGAGGAATAAAACTTCATGACCCCTATTGTTCGGTCCTAATCTGACTCTACTGTAAGGATGAATTTTGCAGTAAAAACATGTTTTTTCTGATGCCACTTACTGAGTTTGAATCAAGCTCAGTGGAGACCAAAATCTGTCAGAAAGAAACAGAGATCATGGTCATCACAAGAAAACATCATGACACAAATATCATCATTGCAGAAAATATGTAGTTCTTTCTGTATAAACTTTACAGTAAAATAGAAAAAAAATCAAATACTTAATTTATTTTACGTTTATCTTTTGCACCTAAACACTGTGGACCCCAATTCTAAAGATCTGAGCTATCCCTTTAAACACATTTGATCTCTCTGAATACATAAACAGCTAAATTATTCTGTGAAAATATCTAAACACAGAAACAATAAATAACATTACATCACAATCATGTAATTAATTGTCTGTACAGCTCATTTTATTTTATATTTATTTACTTTTTAATTTTAAAATGTTTCAAACTTACTGGGTTAGCAAAGGCTGCTCCAATCAGACAAAGTGTTATAATGATGGCCTTCATTCTGTAACAGAATTATTGTTGTCATTAATTAAACTTGTTCAAGCCTGTGTTCAGTCTAACTGCATGTAAACACAGACAAAATCTTAAACTTCTTAGGAAGAGCACAAACACCATGAATCACTTTAAATAAGCTGACACTGCAGTTCCAAAATAAATCCAGAACAATTAAAAAAAATTACTCTGTGCATGATGAGTTACCTTTTTGTCACTGAGATTCAGAGCCTGTGCAGAAGATGTTGACAGCTGTCCTCTATGTAACAGCAGTAAGGAGAATCCAGAGCCCAGTCTGAGCTGCTTTATGTTCCACAGCTGGTTGTTTGTGGATGTGTGCTACACAAAACTCCAACCACCACCGTATATATGGAACCTCGTTTAAGATGATTGCATCACTTACTTCCGGATGTCTCCCTCTGGCCGACGTGTGAAGGTGTATTTGTCCCATAAAGTAATTTAAAACACACTCACACACACAGTTTCATCCAGTCTCACATAAATKTCCTCCACCCCCTCTCAAGTCTTCTGAGAAATACAGTTCAGACAGCTAAACCATAGGTTTGTGGCCWGTTAAAAAAACAAAAAGTCACCCACTCAGAGAGGAAAAAAGAGGCCCAGACAGATCAGAGCAGCACAGGCTTGTTTCCGGAGAAATTGGTGTTTTTACTTTTCTTTCTGGGTTAAGTTTTAATTGTCACTGCCAAACAAAAAAAAGTCACAAGGAAGGAATAGTGTGAGGGCTATGACATCAACAATTTTGAAAAAAAATATTGCAATGTTGCTTTTCAACAATTAAATGCTAAAGTAAAGGTTAGTTATAACAACACCAATCTAATTGGCATTAAAACAGTAAGGTACAACTTTGAAAGTGGGCTTTATGAATATTCTGCTGAGAAAAAAGTTRACCCAACTTTGAGGTGGAGCTGAAAAAAAAAAGTCAGATTATATTGTTAACTGATTCCACCCCGTCTGCTCTTTACACAAGCTGTTTGTGTTCATCAGTGTGAGCAGCGCTCTTCTGGGATGAAAATAATAATAAAATAACACACAAAGGATTTTCACTGTCTAACGTGTTCAACACTTCAGACTTTCACACAAATGTCTCTGTAGTTTTCCTAACTACAAAGTCTAAATTAACCTTAGCTTTTTTCCTCTCTCAAAATGCAAGGCAAAATATTTGCATCTATTTCAATTTAATTTTATTCAAGACAGATGCATGTTGAATGTGTTACAGTTTACATTTCAAGTGAAAGTGTTCCATGATTTCTCAAACATGTCTGAATGAGTCAAAGGAAGACTCTGGGCATGTTTTTGATGAGAGGATAACATTATAACATGAGGTTGATTTTACATGAAATTGCCCCTTTAAGAAATGAATATAATGTATATCATGCTGTATATTTGATTTGATCCAGTCAGAGGGGGCTGTGTGCCTACAAGGAAGAAAAAAACACCTTGTTCTATAAAATAAATG